AGACCTGATTAAAGAAGGAGAGTCATGTGAGCTGATGCAGCAAACGCCTGCTGGTGATTACCGATCAGACTGTCGGTGTGACATGAGACGAGTGCAGGACCCAGAATTTGCCTGACATGTAAACACAAAATGTCAAGTCTAGTCAGGAAAAAGAGAACTTTATTGTGAAATGATGGATAAATTAAATCTGGAGGACTCTACTTGAGAGAGATTTTTTTTGTGGAATCAAATTGAACATGTCCCTCATAAATGTAGTATTTTATATTTGTGTGTATATCTGTGGATCTAAAATAAATTAAAAACAAAGAACCCCTGCGATTTCATTGTACTATGTGATTTTTCAATTTCTGTAGGCCTCCCAGCAAATGACTGCACACTGGTAATAAAATATCGATCGTGTTGTAAAGTGAGAAGGTTCTGTTAAACCATTTTGAGAATTAATGAGCTGTTTTTCCAAACCCAACTGGACTCAGCAGGCGTTTTTCAGTGTGTGTGAAGTTTGTCAAATGAAAAAAAAAAAAAGCTTGAGAAAAGTCAAAACACCTCAATGTACACCCAGCTGCAAAAAAACCCCCCGAACAAACCCCCAATCAATTCTATGATTATTTAGAAGCCTGACAATTGTACGATCAATGGCTGAAACTAACGTTCTGCCAATGAACCCGTCAAATCTTAAAGAAAGGACATCAAGTAAATCAATGTTCCATAATGATGCATGAAATAAATAAAGAAACGATTATGTCAAATATAAAAATGTGATTTAAAACTTTGAAAGCGGTCTGGAAGTTGTCACGCTGAAGGCCAAAAAATAAACCTAAAGGTTTTGCAAGGATAGGAAAGGAAAGCAAATGCAAAATTAAATATACTTCTTACTTCTTATGGCGGTGGAGACACATTCATCTTGCAGATGATGTTTTAAACCTTTGTGTCTCTCTCTTTTGGTGACAGAAAAAATGAATAACCCGCATGTACTTAAAATGGGTCAAAAGATGAAACGATTGCAAGCACAGACATCAGATCAGCGATAATTGTTAAACAGAAGCATCAACACAAATAAAACATATTTTTCCGTTTCAGCTTGCTATTTACAATTTTCACCAACTTGACCTCTTTTTTTTTCGTCAGAAAAAACATATTCTGTGATTCGATAAATGCTGGTATGAAATCAACTGGAAATGTGCAACCAGACATCTGTCGCTAGCAGGGAGCTACATGCTAGTAGCTGTGATGAACTGGGGGGATAGGAGGGATATCTTCAGGCCAATCACCAATCAGAGCAAAGCCGAGGATAATTGGCCCGATTCCGATCTGCGTGCATTTTTCATCCGCACACAATGACATTGAACTGTTTTCTGGTTACTTTCTGAACATTGGTCAGCACTGCAGTGGGATTTTTTCCCACTGAGACAATCTGAAGATGCTCCACTGTGAAACAAGCAAACAAACAATTAGAAGTCAGGTGACTGTGCAGCAGCTCTGACCTGGCGGGAGCAGGAAAGTGGAGCTCAGTGTGAATCTGCGGCTCCAAAACGAAGCATCACATCAACACCGATGAGTCCCGCGCGCCCGGGGATCTGATGATCTGCGTAGACACCCGCGTGCACGCGCACAATGTCCGACAAATAGCAAAAGAGGAGGAAAAAAAAGAAAAGAAAATGGAAATGAAAACAGATGATTCTTTTTTTTTTCTTTTTACTTGCATCAGTTTGGGGGGGAAATAAAGACTTTGTCTAAATCACATTTCCGGCCGATGCGGGGCTTTAAACAGCCGCAGCCTCCTTCTTTCCTTCCTTCCTTTCTTCTTTCCTTCCCTCCTTCCTTCCCTCCGCGTTCTGCCCCTCAATCTGTTTTATTTTATTTCTTTATCAGCATCATTTCTTTCAAATGAGAATTCAGGGACCCCCAAAAATTCAAGCCCCCTCAACCCGCCCCCTTCTTCTCCGTGTCTTCAAACAACAGGAACTGGACGGTTCTACTTCTCCTCCCGTCAAAATGGTATCCCAGATTCAATTTTAGATAGAGCGGGATTTAGCCAGTGATGATTTTTTTTCTTTTTTTGGAGGGGGTGGTGTTCGGGTGGGGGGGAGAGAGGGGGGCTAGAGGGGGTCTCTTAGAGAGACAATATTTAATATGCTGAAGTGAGAATAACACCCCAGTCCCTACTGTTGTACATCAGGACTAATCTGGCGCGAGACGACACCGCTTTTGTTTACAAAACTTTTTTTTTTTTTTTTTTTTTTGGGGGGGGGGGAGAATTAGGGATCACTGATTATTATTTCACATCTTAAATTAAAGCACAATACTACAAATACACACACACACACACACACACACATACACACACACACTGCTCACCTCCTCTGTTTTATACCAACTGATTTTTCACATTTGTTCTGTTAGTTTTCCTATCATAGATATGTGAGAGGAAATTATATATATATATATATATATATATATATATATATATATATATATATATATATATATATATATATATATATATATATATATATATATATATATATATATTCTATCAAAGCCTCCTCCTCCTCGTTGACTTTTATCGCTAAATGAAGCATATAAATGACCTGAAAGCGGCGGCTGTCGCGTTAAATGAAATAAAATAAAGAACAATTATCCTCTCCTTTTTCTCCCCTCTCTGATCTGACGCTGAAAAGGAGTCCTGGAGAGATAAGGCGGATTGAATTCTCTCTGTTGTGCGGCAATAAAAACCCGTCTAAGAGGAGGGGGCGGTGGGGGGTTTAACCCCCCCCTCCCCACCGCTATAATTTAAAATCATAATTTCCCTCCCTATTATATTCCCCTCAGACGCCGTTTTTTTTTTTTTTTTTTTTTTATATATATATCACCGGTGTTTATTCCAGGTCGTTCATAACCGCAGTCAATTTCCGTGACTAACTTGGATAATTACAGGTGTGGCGAACAAATCTGAGAGCTGAAACAAAAGATTTGATTTGATATGAACGGATGTTTTTTTTTATTTTAATAACTATATGAGCGGCTGCGCGGCTCCAGCTCTGACTGTAATTATAACAGCGCCGGTTCGGAGCTGAACTGGATGCTTCAGGGGTCTGATGTAAAACTCGGGTTCAATGAGGTATCATCCTAATTTACAGCTACAGATAAGGGGGCTGAGTCTCATAAAATATATGTATATAAAAAATGAATAAAAAATTAAAAATAAAAAAATCACCCTCTTCCTCCCCACTTCCCTCCCTTACCACCATACTCCCGCCTCCTGCCTCCCTCCCTCCCACCCCAGGACTGGATTGCACCCCGGGCAGAAACAGCAGAGGACGGGAGCCGCTCCGCCATATGTTCTTGGCAGATAAGTAAATAATTTGAATGCGCCATGTTTCTTTCTTTTAATTAATGCCACACTGCGAGTGGGAGCCAAACTATGCGAGCCTCCTCGTCGGAGGCTGAGCTGCCATCCAAACTGAACAAAAGACTCGCAACAAACGCATTGACAATTAAAAAAGAAGAAGAAAAGGAAAAACCGCGGGTTCGATTCCCACTCAAGTCCTGCTGTAAAACCCAAACTCCCGCACAAGAAAATAAAAAAAAGAAAAAGAAGGAAAAAGAAAAGAAGTGGGGTTATGTAGCGCTGCATGCACGACGCGGACATGTTGAAAGAAAAAGTTAAGCAGAAAAACACACACACACGCACACACACACACAAATCCCATCGCATTCAGCTCGTGCCATTAAAGCTATAATTAAGCGGCTTCTTGAAGTGATTAAGCAGTCAAACGGGTCGGACGGGGCGGAATCCCTCCAGGGGGAGGCCTCCTGTTGTGAACTGTCAAATATCAAAAAAAAAAAAAAAAAAAAAAAAAAAAAAAAAACAGCTCATCCCAGGTGTCACAGTAATAAATAATAACAATGCTAAAAAAAAAAAAAAAAAAAAAAAAAAACTTCACCGTTTACAGGCTGCAGAGCGCAACACGCCCGGATCTCGCTTCTGTAACGACACGAATCAGTATTAATGAAAAAAAGAAAGAAAGAGAGAGAGAAAGAGAAAGAGAGGAGGAAGCAGGTAAATGCGGAGGTAATTAAGCCTTGCTGAGAAAATGATTTGACTTGAAGAGGCTTGACAGCTTAAACACCAGACAGAAACTGGAGAGGATCTGATCCTGATGCTGTTCACCCACCAACAAAGGGAACTTTGAAAAGTGGTCAATATTAGGCATCGAATATGTTTAAACAACCGGTTAAATATTCGGTAATGTATTTTGGAGAGATGTCCGACTCCAACCTTTCTGGTTAAAATCGAGCTCAGCAGATCGGTATCGTCACACAGTCCAACAGGATGGACGCACATATTGTGCGTAATGACTCAAATGTGACTTTAGGAAAAGTTAAGAAGTGTCGGAAGGCTGGCGGGGTTGGAAAAGTTGTGTGTCAAAACCTGCTGTCGCTTCTGAACCTGACAGTCAAAACATCAGCGCATCCCGGCAGTGGTTGTCAAGGAAACGGCTCCAAAAAACGTGATCAATTGTCCGATTTTAATTCTGTCCAGGGATTATTAATCTGCTTGCTGTTTCTTTTCAGAGTGAAACGAGCACATTTTGCCAATAGTCAGATTTTTATCGAATGCACTTCAGTAAGTTATTAGTGCTAAAAGATTATTTTTTGTATTTTTTTTTTCATTTAAATATTAAACGTGCATAATTCAAAGTCAGGAATATTAATAATAGAAATAATCATCCACGCCCCACAAAAGAAAAGATTCAATTTCTGCAAATTACTATATAAATTGCATTAGTTTGTTTTTTTCAGTGCATTGACCAACTTTCAATCATGTGTCATAAAATATATATATGCAATCTTATGTTATATTGTAAGTTATAATCTTATTTTTATTTTTATTCAAATCTGGTAAGTGGTGTGTTGGGTTTTTTGTTGTTTTTTTGTAGTTGCCAACCTGATAATTATCCTATTTATTATCTCAATCACCTACAAATGCAGGGCATTGACCTGGTTGAAGACAGATTGTCTTTATTCAAAAAGTCTTTGCTCAGCACTTGAACAAAGAGCCGGAGGAATCATCCTTCCAGATACAGGATCCTTTCCATAACATGACAGCTTTTAAATGACCATCTCAGATAGAAAATACACATAGAACTCCTTGAATTCAATTAGAAGATATCTTTAAAATGAAAAAAGAAGAAAAAAAAAGACCTAAAACAATAAAAAAAAAACTCAAATGAAATTATGTTTGGGACCATATTAGCACAGAACCACGTGGAGAATGTAAATAAAATAAAATAAAAAAATAAACATTTTGATTCCTCCTCCTGTTTTGTCATGTTAAATTAGACCGTCTACTTTTATGTTTCCTTTTTTTAAATTATTTTTTTATTAAATATAAATAATAAAACCTGTATAAAAAGCAGCCTATGAGTCTGGACTCGTTCTAAATTTGCAAAAAAAAAAAAAAAAGGAAAAAAAAAAGAGAAAAGATTTAAAAAAAAAAGTTGTCTATTTAGGCCTATACAGGTATTTGATCTCTAATTGTGCCAGCCAATTTTTTGTCCTTTAAAAAAAAAGTAGTAGCCTATATCAGAATCATCAACACAAATCAGCATATCATTGAAATGTACATAATAAATAAAGTTAAAGGCCTCCCTTTCTGGTTGCCATAAACGTTATAACATTTACATTTCTTACAGTTCACTGCGCTCCGTCCTTCACATCCAACTCCAGCTCCTCTGACCGGACGGGAACTTGTTGGATTTAATTATTTATTTTTTTTGTTAAGTTTTTCGTCTTTTTCCCCTCATTTCCCCCTCAGTCCCCTTCAGATAACACTGTTCGTTCCTTTGTGTTTTTTAACTGGCCGCGCTGTCCGTAACATATTTACATGCATTTCTGTATTCAAATGACATTAAAAACATGGGTTGTGTGAGTGTGGGGTGTGTGTGTGTGGGGGGGGGAGTGGGTTGGTGGGGGAGAAGAGTCTTGAGGTTTACATGGCGGTGGCGTGTGCGGATGAGTAGGGGTCTATCCCAGTCTTGGTCATACCTGGAAACAGTATGTAAGCCACCGGGGGCTGTAAACTGGACGTCGACCAGGCCGTGCAGTTGCACGGCACGACGTAGCCCGGGTTCGTGGGCGACGGGTGGGTGTGGGTGTGCTGGCTGGGGCACCCGAGGGTGCCGAACGCGCCGTTCTGGTATCCCAGCGAGGAGGCGTAGGGCAAAGTGCTGGTGCTCAACGTGTGGGGCATCTCCTGGGTCATCTTCTGGATGGCGCTGGAGCTGAACTGGGTCGGGTCGAGGAAGGAGTAAGGGGCGGAGGTCGGGGGCAGGAACGCCCGGGCTTTCTCCGAGGAGCCCAGGAGGGAGTCGGCGGCCGACACGGGCAGTCCCTTCAAGTGGTCGGTGTCCCCGAGGTAAGGCAGCGGGAAGACGTAGCGGTCCTTCTTCAGCAGGTTCTTGGGCTTGCGCCTGGGTCGGTACTTGTAGTCGGGGTGTTCCTTCATGTGCTGCGCCCGCAGCCTCTTGGCCTCGTCGATGTACGGTCTCTTCTCGGACTCGGACAGCAGCTTCCACTCGGCGCCCAGCCTCTTGCTGATCTCGGAGTTGTGCATCTTGGGGTTCTCCTGAGCCATTTTCCTCCGCTGGCCCCGGGACCACACCATGAACGCGTTCATGGGTCTCTTGATGTGATCGGCGGGCTTCGACATCTTTACACTTCACTTCTTTCTCTGTTTTTCTCTTTTTCTTTCTTCTTTTTTTTATCCCCAGCGGTAATGACAAGGAAAAGTTCTTATCGGAAAGGAATTAGGGAAGATATTCACCTGCGTAATTGCCAGGTAGCGGTCATGCCAGGATGTTCAGCGTCTTGGGTGACGGGAAAAAATATAATAATAAAAACGAGGCGAAGAAAAAAAAAAAAAAAAAAAAAGTAGAAGAAAGATCCAGCGCCCGATCGGTTCTTCCAGAGGTGAAACGCTGAAGCGCGATCTCTGCAGTCCGCTCAAAACTCTGTCAGATCTGCGGCAAAAGAAAGAGAAAGAGAAAACAACGTGCATGCAAGATGCGCACACGTTAAAAATCCACAAAGGTAAAAGCAGAGTTCCGCCTTCGGTTTGCAGGAGTCATAAAATAATAATAATAAAAAAGTGTCCAGCCTTAAGATTGTTATTAGTAATAATAATATATACTTTTCCCCCCGCTCTCCCCTCTATCGCAACTTCTTTTTTTTTCTCTCTCTCCCTCTGTGAGGTTCGTCGTCAAGCACCTGGCTTGGAAATGAGCGGAAGAGCGTGAATACGAGCCAAAAGCGGTGAAGTTCAAAGGCTGGGCTGGTTTGCTTTCTGCACGCAATCTGACATAATCTGCAGGGCGTTCACTCACCAACCTGAACGCCCAATCAGCACCGAGACCGGCTCTGAGAGTACCTTCAGCAAAGAACAGGGACAAAATATAGGCTATGTACATTACAACATAAACAAAGACAGGGTGGTTGTAAAAGACAAAAACGAAGGGGGTGAGGGGGTTATTGTACGTGGGGAGAGTGTGTGTGTGTGTACGTTATGAACACACACACACACACACACACACACACACACACTGGGGGGTGAAGCAAGGATGCTTCCTTGCTTCCATTTCTGGCAAACAGACATGAGCTTTCAGCACCTTTGAGTTAAAACAACTTCAATCCGAAGAGCTGATGAGACTGTAATTACGCGCTGACGTAATCAGTACAGTTAAAGTAAAAGTTTTTCATCCCAAATTATACTGAGATACATATTGAAATGCTTTCCCCTGTTTTAGAGGAACTTTTTAAGTTATATATAAATATACATATTGGATGTATATCGCAGTACAATTGGATTTATTACGTCTGATTGGAGTGGGGTGAACCGGACTGAATCAGATGCATGTGGATTTTACACTGTTTTGTTTTAATGTAAAAATGTCATCATTTGTGAAGGGTAAGGTTAGCTGAACAAATAAAAAATAATAACAGCAAAAATAAATAAATAATGTTTAAAAAGCGATCAAATGAATAAAAAAATTAATTATTTTTTTAAAAATCCCTGGCCTGCATTATACCCTTAGGGCGCTTAAATTCAACTGGTACCTTTGCTCTCTTTTTTCCCACTGGGAGAGGCGGTTTCACAAAAAACTAAAAAAAAATAAATTTTATATATATATATATATATATATATATATATATATATATATATATATATATATATATATATATATATATATATATATATATATATATATATATATATATATATATATATATATATATATATACTAGCAAAGGAAAGTAGCATTTCTTTGTAGATTCTAAAATACCTAACAAACAGGCGCGTGCTTGCAGGTAATGAACAGGCCCGGCTGGACGTCACGCGCTCCCTCCTCAGTCCGCGCGCCCTTCGAGTCTCTGGGAAAGTTCGAGTGACGGAACCACGAGCAGCCAGAAAGTGTGACGTCAAAACTCACAGCGCGTCACTAAAGGCACCGTGGTGTGTTTAATTGTTGACATTGTGGTTTGAGTGGGGGGGGGGGGGGGGGAGGGGTCTGGTGTGTGTGTGTGTTTGGGTGGGGGTGGGGTGGGGTCGTTTTAACTTGCTAATTTTGACACGAGGCTATAGTTGTTGCCCATTATCCCTGCGGCTAATGCAGGCCTGTGTGATATGTGATTCTCTCAGCTGTGATTATTAAACCAGAGGAAGAACCTTTCTGTGTGCCCTCCCCCGACACACACACACACACACATGTTCAGAGCGCCATTAAAATGAGAAAGTTATAGTAGTGTCCTTTTGTTCATTTATTGAAGACAGTTTTTGGTCCATTTTTTTCTCCCCTTTTGGTAATGCGAATTACTCCAGCATCCGGTCCGAAGCCAAAAAAAAAAAAAAAAAAAAAAAAAAAAAAGAAGAAGAAAAATAGCTCAATCAACGTCACACTCTAATTATAACAATTCTAAAATTCCCATTTAAAAATATTTAAAAATGTGGTAGAAAAGCTTTGACAAAGTTGCAAATATATGTTTTCATTTATTGCACTATAAAACACAATTGCAATGGGTGTTAAATATGAACAATTATTCAAATGTTAACCAGACACACTGGCTTATTTTTAATTCTGACATTAGTGACTAACTTTTAGTGAATCTGGGTTAAAATGTTGGTTCCATCAACTGAGGTTTGCAATGTCCACCGGAGAACGATATGTTTATGTATGGAGCTATAAATCTATAAATACTGTAAAAATAAATAAATAGCTAAATGTTGGCATGAAGAGTATGATTTAGTGTTTAGCAGCAGTGCTAATGCTATAGTCAATAATGCTATCGAGTTGGAAGTTGTTGGCAGTGGATGGACCAACTTGGTCTGACAGGGAAAATGTTCACATGCCTGTTGCAATAGATATTTAAAAAGTTGCTACTTCAGTAATATTTTCTAACTTTATTATTATTATAGTTTTTAAATGAGAGGACGAATCAGGCAAGAAAACATGATCTTACTAATTAGCAAGAATTATGGGTAAATTACAGCATGTCTGATTTCCAGATAGCAGGTGTTTTATTGGTTAAAACCTGCAAGTCATTTTTGTCAGTGCACCTGATCATTATTAACGTTGTTTCATTAACATTATTGTATCAAGATATTCTGCAATTTGTTTTTGATGTAGGACAGAATAGTACCTGCCTAATTTGTCTGTATTTTTCTTCTTTTTATTTTTTATTATTATTTTTAGCCTCCTCCTGCTGTTGCTGTTATCTCCATATTTTAAGCCCATCTGCGTCTCTTTCTCACGCCTTCTCCCTCCACATCTCCTCTCGTGCGCATGCGTCAGCCGGCAGCCGCTTACAGGAAGATTTCCATCATATTTGTTGTGGCAAAACCTTGAAACAGGTCTAATTGTGAAGGGGAAAAAAAACGAGAGGCAAAAAAAAAAAAAAAAAAAAAAAGGGAGTGGGCGGGGGGGTCCATCTTCTTCATCCAGACTCACAGAACAATCAGCAGAGGATACTTCTATTTTTTTAAATGTATTTATTTATTTTTGTCTGCCAAATACAAATTAAACATATCCTCCGGTACCAATCGGCTGTCGATTTGTTCATCTGCAACCACGAGGTACTGCGTGTACACATGCTGCATGCTTTGCGCTGTAAATTCCGAGTCGCCTTGAAGTTTTAAATTGCGTTACGCTATCTCGCGCAGACATGTGGCGTTTCGGGCGCGCGCGCATACCCACACCGGCTTATAGGCTTCATTTGAGATGGGCGAGTCAGATAACGAGGGTATTGGGGGGGGAATTATTTTAGGGGCTCAGCCTCCGCACTCACGGGGGAGCAGTCGGCTGTGTTTCTTATTCAGTCGCTGATTGTCTCATAAACGCGCGCCTGAAAGTTCCCTCGACAATTTAGACGGGGTAATGAGAAATGCAATAGGTTTTGATTTTTCGTCGAGGAGCGAGGCGATTATTGGCTCCCGCATTTTCTCTCCTCGGCGTCGCGCGGCTCACTTACAGTCTGCGGGTAAACACGCCGGTGTGGGGGCGTCTAATAACCCAGCCGGCCGCGTCGTTTAAAAGCCCCACCTACAGGGCCCCAACTTGAGGTCATTTGAAATTTGTTCACCGTGGGAGGGAAAAGAAATAAGAAACGCATCGGTTTCGGGGCCCATAACGTGGTTTAGGAACACAGGACGTGTTGGCTGTCAGGAGCTAATGTATTACTGAGAGAAACTGAAGCGCGCGCGGGAAACAGGGGGAAACATGGCGCGCGCATGGTCGTAGAAAAAAAAACAAAAAAAAGAAACGGGGATTATCTCCGGACACGTGTCCGTCCGTGGGGACGGAGAGCGGGGAGCGGCCTGACACGCACAGCCTGTTAGTCAGCTCGGGCCCCCGCGGAGCTGCGAGGTGAACTCCGCCTGCTGGAGCTGGCCGCGGTGCTGAAGCGCTGAGAGGGTTTCTTCACTACGATCCCGCGTTGTCCCCCTTTAAATTAGAAGGAAAAAAACACATAAATAAATAAAATGAATAATAATAAAAAATAACTCCAGCTAAAAGCTCCGGTTGACATTTCAGTGCCTTTCATTGGACTTTCATGCTGTTTGGCGGTTCACCGTGACCAAAATAAATCAAATGTCAGAAGCGGAGAGAACTTGAGTGATGTGCAACTTCCCATTCTTGAGGAGCTACTTTTGAGCGTACAGTGTTTTATGATATCAGAATTAAGCTGGAAGCACTGAAACATTCACACGCCATAATTTATTTCATTTTTTTTCTGGTTCTGGCTTTTTCTGTGAGAACAAAACTGAATTGTAAATGTGAAGCAGAGAAAGGATTCTTCCCTTTCTTAAAAAAAAAAAAAAAAAAAAGTCACAGATACTCTCCTGGTTTTTTACTGTCACATCATCCTGCTCAAAGGTAAGCCTTCAAGTCAGCATTATTGGAGGTTTTCTTCCAACTTACCCAGAATCCCTGTTGAAGATGCATGGAGCATGATGCTGCCACCGTGTTTGTTTCTATGTGCTCTGATTGTCTCTCTCTCTATCTCTCTCTCACACACACACACACACACACACACACACACACACACACACACACACACACACACACACACACACACACACACACACACACACACACCGTTCTTTGTAGACCAAAACGTCGCATCTTGGTCGGATGTCTGCCTGGTTATTTATGTCAAATGTTAAACATGATGTGTCCTTTAACAATGGCTTAGCTGTTGTCACTCTCCTACACTGAAAAAAGAGAACAGCTGATCCGACTTAAATATATTGTGTTAATATGCAAGGAACCTGATGAAGTTTATTCAAGTTTCTTTATGAAGTTTATTAAGTTGTCAAGTAAAACTGATGTTGATAAAGCAAGTTTGACAAACTTCATTGGATCACCTGTGACCAAGTCGGAGTTCAAGCTGAAGTTTTACACGAGCCTAACTTTTTGCTGGGTATTAATAATTGTTCTTCAATTGAGATCTATTCTCAGCTGATTCTGTGAGAGTTGGATGCTTATCGTATCGTTGGTCATTTATCGCAATACATTTCCTGTCAGAAAATTTTTGATTTACTGTCGTCACGATAAATTCCAATTAATGACGTTTAAAACTCACTTAAACTGTCTCTATTTTTGAGACAGATAGTTTTACTATTTTTCTCCACTGTTTTCCCAATAGAAGCGTCAAAAGTCTGAAATCTCACTTTTTTACACAGTAGCAATGGGAATGTTCCTCAAGAGGATTCTTTGTGTTTATGGGACCACAATTGCTGTGACACACAGTCGCAGTCATACAGTTACCTAAAGAAGTTGAAAT